GCTTTAGACCACTGTACTACCAATGCTCTTTTTTTCCTTGAGTATTTAAGGTTGCAGACCCCTGATACAAGGTTCTCACAAGCCATTGGGCTATTAATAGAAAGCATATTCCATAGCTGGGTGACAGAATGATTTAATAAATTATGTCACCTGTGTAATTTGTGACATAATTACACTAATGGTACATATTGTTGCATTCTAGTTGGCATGGAGGTGATATAAATGTCACTTCTGAATGCCAGAAGTTCACAGTGCATGCATTATTCTTTGTGCATTGAAACTGTGGCTGGAGGCATGATATAAAGCCTATTACAATTATCCCTATGTATTCTCAGGCCTCGTAATTCCTAAGAATATCACAGCCTTGCTAGGACAGCCTAAATTGCTTCTCTCCTTGATTAGTTTCCACCCATTGCTTCTTGTCCTGCCTTCAGGGGCTTTGGAGAATAGCTTGACTCCCTCTTCTTTGTGGCAGCCCCTGAGATATTGGAACACTGCTATCATGTCTCCCCTAGACCTTCTCTTCATTAAACTAAACATACTGAGTTCCTGCAACCGTTCTTCCTATATTTTAGACTCCAGTTCCCTAATCATCTTTGCTGCTCTTCTCTGCACTCTTTCTAGAGTCTCAACATCTTTGTGTTGTCAAGAAGTTCTTCCTAATGTCTAATCTGTTTCTTCATCCTTGGAAGTCCCATTAGTTCTGGTCTTACTCCGTGGAGCAACTGAGAATGAACGCAAAGTCTTTCTTTACAGTGTGACAGCTGAGGACAGCTATTATGTCTGTTTTCAACCTTCTCTTCTACAAGTTGAACATCTCTAGGTCTTTTAACTGTTCCTTGTAGGACTTGAGTTTCCAGTCCTTTCACTATCTCGACAAACCTTCTTTGGACTCGTTCCATTTGATCCATGTCTTTTTTTAAAACTAGGGTATCTTTTTTTATAAACATACTTAATACTCCTTCCTCCTCTTATTTCCCCCACAACCAAAACCCTGTGAGGTGGGTTGGGCTGAAAGAGAGTGACTAACCCAAACTCACCTAGCCAGCTTTCATGCCTAAGGGAGGACAAGAACTCACAGTCTCTTGGTTTCTAGCCTGCTGCCTTAACCACTAGACCAAACTGGCTAATAGTGTGTGTGTGCGTGTGTGTGTGTGTGTGATGTGTGTATGTAGGTATGTATACACAGAGAGAGGGGGGAAGAGGGAGAGAGGGAGAGAGAGAAAGAGAGACAGAGAAGGAGACAGAGAGAGACAGAGAGAAAGAAAGAGAGACAGAGAGGGAGAAAGAGAGAGAAGAGAGGGAGAAAGAGACAGAGACAGAGACAGAGAAAGGAAGAGAGACATAGAGGGAGAAAGAGACAGAGACAGAGACAGAGAGGGAGAAAAAGAGAAAAGAGAGGGAGAAAGAGACAGAGAATTATAGACAGAAACCACTATCAGGTGCACCTATGTTGCCTCTGCATCCATGTGCAAATGGCACCAGCCCTTTTTCAGGATTCAAGGGGTTACCCAAACCAATTAACTCTCCAGGTTAAGCCTGTTATGTAAATACAACCAGAAAATTGTGCTGTCTGTATCTTTATTCCTGTCTCTCAATCATCTACCTAAAGCAAAACATTTTAAAATTGAAAAGCTAGAAAATTTGCAGGGAGAGGTATTTGGACTTCACTAGAAATAGAGAAAAATATGGGGAGTGGGATGTAGGACTTTAAAAGCACATTTATACCCACTGTACTTTAATTCCATCTTTTCTTTCTCCATCTCTTCTCCTGATTAAGAAAAAAAATTGCGGTTTCTTTCCCAGTCTTAAAGCTGGACAATTCTTGGTTGTTGAAAAAAACAACAACTGGTGACTCTATTCTGAGAATTCTGGCTCTCAACTTAAACTCCTAAATAGGTACCCTAAAATGAACCCTGGATGAGAGACAAAAATGATTCTTCCACTTGAAAAGTTTAAAATAGGATAGCTGCCACTCCTAACCTGCGTTCTTTCCATGGATGAATTGTATTTCCCAGAATTCCCCTGCCAATATAGCCATTGCTGAGAATTCTGGGAATCAGAGTTCCCCTCTTCAAAAGTCACTCAGTTTAAAGAACTTCCCAGTCATGTTTGGTGCAAAAATAATAGTGCATTCCAAAAATGCATTAATTTCATTTAACTGCTGAGCAGGAGGGAAGATCTGTGATCTGGAAACTGTCAGTTTCCATTCTCCAGATGTAACAAAGTGAAGTGATACCAAAATGTTGGTGTATGCTGTGACATCAATCCTGTAAGTGCCACAATTATGTTCTTGCATTCTGATGGCTGGCATTAATACAGAGATGACAACATGTATCCTTATTTTAAAAAAACAGCAGAAACTATTTTCCTTCTGTTTAAGTATATTTGGAGCCACCCTACCTTGAATAAAGAAAAGAAAGAAAGAAAGAAAGAAAGAAAGAAAGAAAGAAAGAAAGAAAGAAAGAGGGAGGGAGGGAGGGAAGGAAGGAAGGAAGGAAGAAAGAAAGAACGAAAGAAAGAGAGAGAGAGACAGAGGGAGGGAGGGAAGAGAAGGGAAGGAAGGAAGGAAGAAAGAAAGAAGAAAGAAAGAAAGAAGAAAGAAAGAAAGACGTATAAATCAAAGAAATAATACACAAAGGTAATACAGCAAGAAATGGTTTGCATATACTTCGAAAACGTAGTTGATTTAAACAGTTTAAATCCATAAACAGTTTTGAAAACCCAGGAATCTGTTATGGAATTCATCTACAGTATCTATGTAATATTTAAATCAGGATGGGAAATCAGGGACTTATTAGATCAAATTCAACTCCCATCACATTTATCTAGGATTTAAGGGATCTATAATAATTAAACACAGATTGTCCAGAGATTGGTTTATACTTGCTGATGTTTTTTCCCCATGATTCAGAAAAAAGATTTCCTCAGTTTTGAGACATTTTTCTGAAATCCAAAGGGGTTCACTACGAATAATCTTCCTTTATATTAGCTTAAACATTTATTTTATGCTACCATCTTCTGATACAGTCAGAATCTATTTTTTTATCCACTGTGATTAACTAAATTTAGCTAAAATAATCAAAATGAGCAGAGATCAAGAGTCTTTAAAGGTTATCTCTATTATATACCTATTGTTCATCCCAAATGTCTTTTTAAACTGAACTATATGTGAGTAACAAAATGTGACTATTTTGACTTTTCTCGAAAGGTAGGAATCTCACATGGGAATAAGTGTTGGGTTTTTTGGAAATTTCCAAGCTTTTCAGCACTTTAGTGATGATTAAAAACTCTGGGTGGGGAATGTTTTAGCATAAGGGGAACAAATGTTTTGTTTTAATCTTCCCAAGGTAATGGACACTTTCTCCTCAAAATAAACCTGAGTCCAAAATCTAAAGCCAGTATGGATGACTTTTCTGATATTTTACCTGTTTACAAATATGATACCATCTCTAGCCATTTCCCCCCTTTTTTATTTTGAGCCCATCTCTAACCATTTCCTCCTTTTTTTATTTGTTTAAAATGGTTGTGGGAACAGTTAGATTCTCATACAGATGAATGTAAAGGAGAAATGCAACATTGTGTGCACAGGTTTTTATGGGTTTAAAGACATTGAAGTCTTCTTACTTAAACTCAATAGACTTTTTACAGAGCAAGACAACGGTGAAGGCAGAAATACTGGTAAGCATTCAATATATAAAGTTAAAGAAGAAACATTGCGGCCAGTAAAACTTCAAAAAGTATACATTGCCATTCCTTGTAGGACAGAATAAGAGATTGATCGATCAATTGCTATCTATCTATCTATCTATCTATCTATCTATCTATCTATCTATCTATCATCTGTCTATATCTATCTATCATCTATCATCTATCATCTATCATCTATCTATCATCTATCATCTATCATCTATCTATCATCTATCATCTATCTATCTATCATCTATCATCTATCATCTATCTATCTATCTATCTATCTATCTATCTATCTATCTATCTATCTATCTATCTATCTATCATATAGATAGACAGTTAAAGTAGAATCAACTTAAAAGGGTAATTCAATTTTAGAAGCATCCATTTGGTCCTGAAATTTTGCTTTAAAGTTTACTTTTTTAAAAACCTAATAATACATAGAAAAAGGTTAATGTCTTAGAAAAAGGGGAAGGTTTTGTTACCTGTGTATCTATAGCTCAGAAAGTAGGACGCCTATCCATTAAAAGATATGGAACAACTGTGTCAGTCTGTAATAAAACTCCATGAGTTTGGGGGCACCCTTTCTGTCTAATAAATGTCATTAAAAAGCATACATTCTCATGAGTTGCATTTCACCATCAGAGATACAATTGTCAGTTGGATGTCCCATAAGATAAACCCAAAGAAAGTAGTCTTTAAATGAGAATAAACAGCAAATTTCCATTTGTGCTTAGGATAGGATAGGATAGGATAGGATAGGATAGGATAGGATAGGATAGGATAGAAAATGGAGTAGAGTTGAATAGAGTAGAGTACAGTAAAGTAGAATAGAATAGAATGGAATGGAGTGGAGTGGAGAGTGGAATAGAATAGAATAGAATAGAATAGAATAGAATAGAATAGAATAGAATAGAATAGAATAGAATAGAATAGAACCTTGGAGGTCTTCTCCAAGCACGGAACCATTTACTATTCTGGACAAATGGCTGTCCTGTCTCTTCTTGAAAACCTCCAGTGATGGAGGAGCACCCATAACTTCTGAAGGCAAACCATTCCACTGATAACATTGTTCTCACTGTCAGGAGATGTCCCCTTGTTTCTAGGTTGGATATCTCTCCTTCATAAGCCTCTACTTTTTTATCCACTTCTTTATCCCCAAACTAACTGCCCTTGCCATTATTTGCCATGGTAAATAATGGTTTATGCAACACTGCACAAAAGTGTGGTTTCTTAGGGAAAAAGGAAGAGGAAGGAGGAGGAGGAAGAAGAAGAATAGGAAAGGAATAAGCTTTAAAGTTACTGACCTCTCGACTGGTGTTGCTTCCAGGGAGTTCAAAGTGAGAGACAAAATGATGAAAAGAAAAGGTCCCTTAAGACTGCACATTTCTCTTTCGGCTGTTTTCGAATGAAAGAAGGGAGAAAGAAGAATTAAAAAAAAAGCCAAGTTAACAAATTACAAACACAAAACACACGCACCCCGATATCGATTTTCCAGGATTCCTTTCGTGCTGAATGACAGAACTTGCTAGCTAAAAGCTATGATGGGTATTCAGTGAGGTGGCTCACCCGAGCCCAATCCAACCCCTGATTTTTAACCTTTTCCATTTTCCTATCCGAGTTTATGAATTTGCCGAAAGAAAATTAAGAACAGGAGGAGGAAATCTTCTCTCTCATCTGGCTGGAAAGAGTTTGCTTCGTGCATCAGCTCCAGCCCCTTCCTCTCTTGTTTACCTTTGCGTTATCTTTCTGAAGAGTTACAAGAAAGACAAAATATTCCCAACCTGGGACTTACCTGGAGGGTTAAGCAAAGGTCCCTGCAACAGCAAAAAAAGGACAGGTTCGATCCCACTCTTCTAATCCAATAGTCTTTGTCACTATCTATCTGGCTGGCAGACAATGCTGCTCTTATATACCCCCTTGTACTTTGTTCGGCTGTGACATCAAGCAGCAAAGAGTGTGTGTGTGCGTGAGAGAGAGAGAGATTGGCAGAGAATGATTCTATCATTCACTTCTGTCCCCATAGATGGAAATGCCCTAGTAAAAAAGCAAGCGATAGATGCCTTAACTTCAGCTGAGTCCATTTCGGGGGGGCCTTTGATGTGATGCGCTAATCAAATTATCCCTGAACAACAACAACAACAACAAAATGGGTTTGAAGAAGATCTCTTTTTTTGTCCTTTTATCATTTTTATTTTATTATATAAAATATAAAATACAAAAAAGGGAAATTGAGGGCGGGACAGGGGACGGGGGAAAGGGAGTGAGAGATACAAGGGGAAGAGAAAAAAAAGAAAGAAAAGGGGGCATTGATTTCCAACTCTTCGCAGCAGAGTACAAGATAAACACACTCCAACCTCAACTTTTTTGCTTTTACACATTAATATATAACTAGCCATTTCTATAACACCAAATCTTTCTAATCAACAAAACTCAAGATCAAAGTTTCATTTTTTTTTCTTCACAAGAACAAATTCCAGAAGGGATATATCCAAATAAGAATATAATTTTCCTCTTTAAATAAGCAATGTAAACCATTTTTGCCTTATCTTCCTTGCTGTGGAAATAACGTGCATTTCTATTTGCACCTAGTAATCTTTATGAACTGTCACCATTTTTATTTTACAAAATTTATTGTACTCTTTCAAATTCTTTGGCCTAAAAAATAGAGAGAAAAAAATAAGTTTGAATAAGATCTTGAGGGAAGGGTTTCCTGCAGGTGTTCGCGGTAAGGCTAAGTGAACAAATGAAACAGGATTTTTAGGAAATCCTTTGCCAAGGAAAAAACGGCTTGCCTTCGAAAGTTGTGGGTGCTTCAACAATTGAGATTTTTTTAAAAAAATTTATTAGTTAAAAGTACAAACAAACATAAATACAACGATACAACATACAAAACAAACATCATTCAAGTCTTACGACTTGCTCTTAAAGTTGTCACATCGGTAGACTATTTTTCCATATTTATCTATATATCTGTATATTTACATATTTACATGTGAAGCATTACTATACGTTCCATCCTTAAAATTGTTACACTCCTTAATTGGTACTCAAAGTTTTGTCTCAAAATTGACCTTATTCTTTAGTGTCCCTATGAATGTATTTCTAACTTTTTCTCCAACCAGTTATACTTTTGCCATGCTATATATTTTTGCCATGTTAAGTAGTACTCTGTGTCATCTTTATCTTGTAGCTCTTTTGTAAGTTTATCCATTTCTGCGCATTCTGTGATTTTAGTAATTATTTTGTTTTCTGTCGGTATATGTTCCCGTTTCCAGTTTTGGGCAAAGAGTATGCGAGCTGCTGTTAAGATATGGATAATTAAGTATTTTATCTCTTTTTCATATTGTGCTGTGATTATTCCGAGTAGAAAGGTTTCCAGCTTCATTTCCAACTTCTGATTTGTAATTTCTTCTATCATTTTCCTTATTTCCTGCCAATATTGTTTCGCCTTTTGGCATGATCACCATAGATAGTAATATGTTCCTTTTTGTGCATTACACTTCCAGCAAATTGGAGAGGTGTTTGGGAACATTTTTGCTAGGCGCGCCGGTGGGAGGAACAATTGAGATTTTTAAGAATAGACTGGTGAGTCTATTCAATTTGTCTCAAATTGTACAGGGTCTCCTGTTTGAGCAGAGGGTTGGACTAGAAGACCTCCAAGGTCCCTTCCAGCTCTATTCAGATTGAAAAGAAATGATTGGCAGATTCAGAGTTGCTGAAAAGTGAATAGAGGAACATTTGGGAAGGTTACAATTTTTAAACAAAGTTTATATCCCAACTCAAGCCGTGCACATATCTAATACTCCTTCCTCCTCCTATTTTCCTCACAACAACAAGCCTTCGAGGTGAATTGGCCTGAGGGAGAACGAATGGCTCAAAATAACCTAGCCACCTAAAGTGGGATTAGAACTCACAGTGGCCTATTCTGGTTCTCTTTCTAAAATTGCAGAAACTTTTCAAGAACACATAGATATTAAAGGACTTGATTAAGTAGTTGCATAAAGTAATAAGGCAGAAACAATGTACTCATGCTCATATCATCCACCTGCCTGCTTATCACCGTGCTATGGATTGGAAAGGAACACAAATAGAAGGTAGAGAAATAAAGGTTGGAATTTTGCAGAGAACATGACGGGTGGGTTAGATTGAGTGGTGTGGTGGCCTAGAGGTGGCGTTCTCGCCTCACAATCAGGAGGCTGTGAGTTTGATCCTAGGTAGAGGCAGATATTTCTCTCTCTGGGCACAATGAGGATATACAGTATCTGCTGAACAAAGCTCTGCATTGGTGACAGGAAGGGCATCCGGCCAGTAAACACTCAGCTCCATTCAGTTGCCCAGACTCCACCCCGCAAGGGATTATGGGGTCGTTAAAAGAAGATGATGGTGAGTGGGTTAGATGCTATGGGCATCTATTGGATACAGTCTGTGATGCCAGTTAGCTCAGCTGCATCTCCAATGTCTTTTTAGTTCTTTTCAGAGTGGATTTTACATATTACATAATATAAAGCTACACATTTAATTCTGCATGATTGGGAGGGAAAAATTTAGAGCAGTGTTTCTTCAAACTTGACATCTAGAAAATAGGAAGCAAACCTTAAACAGTCTTGGGAATCTAATTCCTCTTATTGCAGCCTCTTTGTAAATGAACACCGCTTTGCTTTTTCAACAAACAAATGTCTGGATTTTGTCATTTTGCCTGTATTTTGTCATTTTTCCCTACGATCTACAAAGGGTTTGGTCAAAGAATCTCTCTGTCAACAGTCAGAATTCATTTCCCAATTATTGCTCTTCTCCACCACCTATGTATCGTTCTAAAAATTGCAAAGAATAAGAAAAAACAGCATGGCTGTTCTATAAACTGTTTTGTGATTAGGTTTTGTTTTTTTTTAAACTGTCCTGCTAATAAATTAGGGTGGCATTTTCTGGGTAAGGAAGGGCAAAACAAAACAGCAAAAATAGGAGTTGAGAGATACATATGAAAGATTTCAGTCAACAGTAAAGATGAGCAAGCAGAATGGATGGATGGATGGATGGATGGATGGATGGATGGATGAGCTGGTTGCTCACTTGGATGGATTTATGACAGCAGGGAAAACCATGCTTATAGTATTCGTTTAGCATCCACGCTTCTCCAAATTAAGCTACATTTTTTTCACTTGGCACCCACAACTTCTGAAGGCAAACCGTTCCACTGGTGAATTGTTCTCAGGAAATTTCTCTTCAGTTCTAGGTTCAATGTCTCTTTAATGATCTTCTATCTACAGTGATAGGATTCAAATAATTTAACAACCAGTTCTCTGCCCTAATGTCCAACTGGGTGGGCGTGGCCATGGTGAGTGTGGCCAGCGGGTGTGACAGGCAGCACATGGCCTCCTGCATCCCCCCGGGAGTGAAAACGGGTCGTGGGGAGTGCTCCCTCAAGGCCCGTTTTGGACCTAGGAGGCCTCCCTGAAGCCACTTGGGAGCAAAAATGGGCTGTTGGGGGGCACGCCACCCCCCACATGTCCTGTTTTGGGCCTAGGAAGCCTCCCTGAAGCCTCCTGGGGTCAAAAACAGGCTGCAGGGGGCACACCGCTCCCACCACACCCCATTTTGGGCCCAAGAAGCCTCTCTGCACTTATCTGGGAGCCAAAATAGGGCATGTGGGGACTCTTGGAAGGGGCGTGGTGGGAAGGGGTGGAGCCAGCCAGCAATTTAACTACTGTTCGCACGAACCGGCCCAAACCGGCTGAATCCCACCACTGATTTTCTACCTGTTACTTGTCCTGCCCCCAGGTGCTTTGGAGAATAAGTCCATCCACTCTTCTCTGGGACAGGCCCCCTAAGTACTGGAAGACTACTATCATATCACCCCTAGTCCTTCTCATTTTTAGACTAGACATCCCTAGTTTTCTCAATCAATCTCTCGCTCAAAGATGGGAAAGGCTGAACAGACCTCTTGTTTTTTTTTTTTCCCCCTATGAAAAACATTTCTGGATCTTGGAATTCCTGATGACACTGAGTTTCATCCCTATCTAGCATGACTAATGGCTGGATAACAGGCATAATCCAAATGATTTGGAGGACACCATGGGAGAGAAGCAGAGGTGGGCTTTACATACTGTAGCAACCGGTTCACCCAGCACTGGAAATGTGAGCGCACGCGTGTGCGGTATCATAAAACACGGCAATTCACTTGCACGCACTGTCCACACATGTGTGCGATGTCAAACAACATAGCAATTTGCTCGCACGTGCTGTTCGCACATGTGTGCGGCATCAAAAACACAGCAATATAGGATGGGATTGCACCAGGGCAGGTGGGTGGGCCCACAGATCACTACTACTGGTTCGCCCGAACTGGTACGAACTGGCTGAATACCATCTCTGGAGAGAAGACTAGTTTACAGAAAGGAGAGGTTCTTGACATCACAGGAAGACTCTGTTACCCATTACTGGTATCCACGTGAATGTTTGTCTCCTTGGGGGAAGAATTTAGGAGTGGCTAAGGAAGAAATACGCTTGAATTCTCATTACGCTCCTACTCCGTTCAACACCTCAGGTCTAACCAGATGCAATTGATGATTCCTGTCCATAGAGGGCACTGTTGCCCCACTTCCAGGAGAATGGGACCCAAAAGGTTAGCAATTATATAAAGTACTGATCCATGAATCATAGATAATTGCATTTTTTGGAAACAGGAGGGGAAAATGCATTGATGGCTCTGAACTGTCAATCAACCTTTATTCTTGCACCCTTAAAACACACAGAAACATACAAAAACACATATCAAGCTGCTCAGAATAATAAAAAAAATACACAATACATAATATAAATATATTACAGATGCTAACAAATTTCAAATTTAATAAACTAAGATATGTTGTGGTAAAAATGGTTGCACGCCTGTTTTGGATGGATAGCAAGCAAATCAGGAGAACTGCTTGCACGACAGAAATATTTGGTCTCTTGTGACAATCAATAATAGAAGTTTTTATAGTGGGACATTGTTGTTGTCATTATTAAATCTTCAATTTGATTCACAGTCTGGGACTAGTAAAAACCGATAATGATGATGATGATGATTAAAATTTATTTGGTTGCCCAACGCACTCAAGAAGGTTCCTGATGGCTTACAAATATAAAACCCTAGTACAAAAAAGCAATCTTGCAACATAATTACTTCCAGATTGTTAAATATGGTTTCTGATCTCCAATAGTTATTTTTTAAAAAAAATAACCTGTTTTTTACCCTCTGCGCATGTGCAGGGTCCAAAATCGCATATGACGCGTGCATTTTTCTGGTAGTAGCCGATATACCAGCAGATGGACTGGGCTCTGTGTATCTCTGCATTCACATAGCATGTTGTTATCTGCTAAGAGCAATAGCAATAGCACTTAGACTTATATACTGTCTTCACAGTGCTTTACAGCCCTCTCTAAGCGGTTTACAGAGTCACCATATGGCCCCCAACAATCTGGGTCCTCATTTTACCAACCTCAGAAGGATAGAAGTCAACCTTGAGCCTAGTGAGATTCGATCTGCTAAACTGATGGCAGCTGGTGATCAGCAGAAGTAGCCTGCAGTATTTCATTCTAACCACTGCACCATTAAGAGCCTAAGAGCCTCCAAATTAGAATAGAGTAGAGTAGAGTAGAGTAGAGTAGAGTAGAGTAGAGTAGAGTAGAGTAGAGTAGAGTAGAGTAGAATTAAAAGAGAAGCAAGTAGAAATAGGGTAGGGTAGGGTAGGGTAGGAGAGAAAAGAGTAGAGTAGCGTAGCGTAGTGTAGCGTAGCGTAGCGTAGAGTAGAGTAGAATAGAGTAGAGTAGAGTAGAGTAGCGTAGCGTAGAGTAGAGTAGAGTAGAGTAGAGTAGAGTAGAGTAGATAGAGTAGAGTAAAAGAGAAGCAAATAGAAATAGGGTAGGGTAGGGTAGGGTAGAGAGAAAAGAGGAGAGGAAGAGGAGAGGAGAGGAGAGAGAGGAGAGGAGAGGAGAGGAGAGGAGAGAGAGGAGAGAAGAGAAGAGAAGAGAAGAGAAGAGAAGAGAAGAGAAGAGAAGAGAAGAGAAGAGAAGAGAGAATAACAGAGTTGGAAGGGACTTTATAGATCATCTCGTCCAACCCCCCACCCAAGCAGGAGACCCTACACCATTTCTGACAAATGGCAGTCCAATCTCTTCTTGAAAGCCTCCACTGATGAAGCTCCCACAACTTCTGAAGGCAACTTCTGTTCCCCTGGTTGATTGCTCTCACTGTCAGTTTCTCCTAATTTCTAGGCTGAATCTCTCCTTGTTCAGTTTCCATCCATTATTCCACTTCAATATATTGGTTTTACACTTAGGCCTTTCATTTCTCAACCTAATCAGGGCCCTCCAAGTAATACAGGTAGTCCTTGACTTACAACGATCGTTTGTGTGAGAACTGGTCTTAAGTCACTTTTTGCAGTGCCGTTGTAACTCCGGTCACTAAACAAATGGTTGCAAGTTGAGAACTAGCTGTACACTCTTTCAGCGCAACCAAGGATTGTTGTTGTGGGGTGACAAGGAGATAACAAGACTATACATGACCTGCTTTGACTCTTGAATGAAGGACAAGATACAGATGAAATAAATGAATAAATGAATAAATATGTGAGAGTCACATTCAAAGGTTGGGAAATTTCAACCGGATTTTAACCGGATTTAATCAATCATTTGCAGATGGAGGTCACATTCTGACAAGACAGTCATATTTTTCTAGGTTGGGGCAATGGGAATTAAAATGCAAGATTGCAGAAACTTGACAGAAGCATGAAAGTTGCTGCACGGCAATTCATTTTCAACCCCTCGTGAAATAAAAACTTCCAAGGCGAAAGATACTATTTCGTGCTTTTGTAACCATCATCTCCATCTCAGTAAGTAAACTAACTACAACAGCAACTTTGGCAATGCTTTTCTATTTGAGTTTTCCTGAATGTTTTGCTTGTTTAATTAATTTTTTTTTGTTTACAAAACATAAAAACAAATTAAAAATCATCCAAAATGCTGAAGGTAGTGATTTAAAATGTCTTATTTCTCCTGATGCACAACTGGACAATATAATCTAAAAACTGAATAACAATGAAATTAAAGGAAGTTATGTAATTTCAATAAACCTTCCTTCCTTCACCTGTCTGTCTGTCTATCTGTCTATCTGTCTATCTATCTATCTATCTATCTATCTATCTATCTATCTATCTATCCCCTTCCTTCCTTCCTTCCATCCATCCATTTATACTTCCTTGCTTCCCTTTCTTCCTTTCTTTCTTGTGTTCCTTTATGGTTTTTTAAAAGTTACTTAATCATTAAATTGTAATTTATTTTTAATTTTATTTTATTCTCAAAAGTTTTAAAAACTTTTTCTCTTCTTTGCTTTCTTTTTCTCCTTAGATAGATTCATGGGGGACTTTTTGCTTTTAGCATAAAAAGTTAGACATATTTCCTTTTATACACTTATACGTAGGTGTCTAGTTACATAGTTTTTTATATAATACTGCAAATCCATAAGCAACATCTTTTCAAAAATACCTTCAATAAATACTTTTTGAAAGCTAGCTTCAGAATAAGGAGGAATGGAAGACTGTATTATTTTAAGCTGTTGTCCGTATTCTCTCTTCCAACTTCTCAAAAATTCTCTCCTGCGGCCAAAAAAAAAAAAAAAAAAGATTTCTGGTTTTCTACCTCAGCGGTCTTGAGAATTTCTTTCAAATTTCTCTTGTTAATGTTTTTGAATGTTCATTTATCAGTGGAAGTGCAACTCCTGCTTCTGTCTGTGGAGATTTTCAATCCTCCAGATCAGGGGTGGTATTCCCTTACCTTTGCTACCTGTTTGCAAACGTGAGTGCACCAGGGGTGGGTTCTAAATTTTTTTACTACCAGTTCTGTGGGTGTGGTTTATTTTGTGGGCGTGGCTTGATGATCATGTGACAATTCTTTAGGATTTAGCAGAGGTACTGGTCTACCAAACATTTAACTGCTTGCAGAGTGGTACCGGTCTACTCATTTATTTTTGCAGGCACCGGTCTACTCATTTGTTTTCTTTTAACACTGATCAGCTGTAGGGCGGCCCTTTGAAGCCCCGCGGCAGCTGGGACTCAGGAGGCAGCAATAGATTGGGGGTGGGGCCAAATAAAAGGTAAGAATAATGCAGGGGGGGTGGGGGGGTGTGGGGAGGCAGGGGGGTAGAACTGGTTTGGTGATGTCATATCATCACCGCTACTGGCTCAGCGGAAGCGGGCTGAACAAGGAGGAACCCACCACTGGAGTGCATGCACCACCACCGTGCATGCACAGGGCCTTCCGCGCATGTGCAGAGTGTCAAAAATGGGATGTGATTACATCCGGATGGGTGGGCGGAGCCTCCCGCAGCCATCGTTACCGGTTCTCCCGAACCGGATAGAACCAACTGAATACCACCACTGCTGCAGATCATGGTTGTCCCGAAGGTGCTTTTCCAAAACACAAATGGTCTTCTTTGGTTTTTTTCTCTTGAAAACATTTCACTTCTCATCCAAGAAGTTCCTTCAGGACATCCATTGTTCTTGGAGGAGAAGCGAAATGTTTTCAAAAGCGAGGTTCTACATTTAGGCAAGAAAAACAAAAGGCACAGGTACCGTATATGTGGTACCTTGCTCAATAGTAGTAACTGTGAGAGGGATCTTGGAGTCCTAGTGGACAACCATTTAGATATGAGCCAGCAGGGTGCAGCAGCTGCCAAAAAAGCCAACGCAGTTCTGGGCTGCATAAACTGAGGAACAGAATCAAGATCACGTGAAGTGTTAATACCACTTTATAAGGCCTTGGTAAGGCCACACTTGGAATACTGCATCCAGTTTTGGTCTCCACAATGTAAAAAAGATGTTGAGACTCTAGAAAGAGTGCAGAGAAGAGCAACAAAGAGGATTAGGGGACTGGAGGCTAAAACATACGAAGAACGGTTTCAAGAACTAGGTATGTCTAGTTTAATGAAGAGAAGGACTAGGGGAGACATGATAGCAGTGTTCCAATATCTCAGGGGCTGCCACAAAGAAGAGGGATCAAGCTATTCTCCAAAGCACCTGAGGGCAGGACAAGAAGCAATGGGTGGAAACTAATCAAGGAGAGAAGCAACTTAGAACTTAGGAGAAATTTCCTGAGAGTTAGAACAATTAACCAGTGGAACAACTTGCCTCCAGAAGTTATGAATGCTCCAACACTGGAAGTTTTTAAGAAGATGTTGGATAACCATTTGTCTGAAGTGGTGTAGGGTTTCCTGCCTGGGCAGGGGGTTGGACTAGAAATCCTCCAAGGTCCCTTCCAACTCTGTTATTCTATTCTATTCTATGCAAGGAAAAAACAACAACAAGGGAGTCCAGTTGCCTTTTAGAAAAGCACCTTTGAGACAATCCCTGCTATTCTTTTCTATTATATAATCTTTCCTTTACTTTGAAGCCTCTCCAGGCTGCTCAACATTTTCCAAGAAGCTTCAAGGGAAGATTTTCCTCCTAATGTTTGGTTTTGGGGTGGGGGAAATGTATGAGACTACAGGAAAGGTTGAGTCTTGAAAGACCACTTCATGAAATAACAGGAATGTACAAATCATGAAAGAGGTCTCACTCCAATGAACACTTGTGCTTTTGAATCTGATTTGCACAAGATTTCTGGAACTGAAACAATGCTTGCTTTGAAGCCTCCCTTGTAAATCTAATACAGGTAGTTCTTGTTTAGCAACCACCTCATTTAGTGACCGTTCAGCTACAACGGTGGTGAAAAAAGTAACTTGATAATCAATCCTCACATTTGTGACCTTTGCAGGTCTGGAAAGCAGCAGAGGAAAGCTGAAGTAAAATCATAAGCACCGGTGTGGATTCATTTAGCGGGCTTCACTTAATGACCATTTTCTGGTCCCAATTGTAGTTGCTAAATGAGGACTACCTGTAAGTTAGAGAAGGCTCAGGTGCTCATGAGTCAACCAGAGCTGATATGGAATCAGACGGTGCCTACATAGGTAAAGGTTTCCCTCGCACATATGCGCTAGTCGTTCCCGACTCTAGGGGGCGGTGCTCATCTCTGTTTCAAAGCTGAAGAGCTAGCACTGTCTGAAGACATCACCGTGGTCATGTGGCCGCCATGACTAAATGCCAAAGGCGCACGGAGCACTGTTACCTTCCCACCAAAGGTGGTCCCTATTTTTCTACTTGCATTTTTTACGTGCTTTCGACCTGCTAGGTTGGCAGAAGCTGGGACAAGTCTCGGGAGCTCACCCCTTTACGCAGCACTAGGGATTCGAACTGCTGAACTGCCGACCTTTCGATCGACAAGCTCAGTGTCTTAGCCACTGAGCCACTGCGTCCCTACATAAGACTATATAAATAAATCATATGCAGAAGTCTCTTCCAATTAGTGGAACTGGCAAATGAGGCAAGGGGGAGGCAGAACATCCCAGGAAGATAGGCGTGACAGGTGTAAAAAAAGGGGGCGTGGCTTTGATTGCATGACTGTGGCCAACATCTTGACTTCTTGGACCTTCCTTCCCTGCAGGAGGCAAACTGTTTCATATCGCTCTCTCTCTGCATGATGAGGCAATCTGTGTTGCCTGTAGGGTTCTACCAGTGCTTCAAGGAGCAGGTTACAGTTGGATGGGACCTACTCTCTGTGGCAGCCCCTCAAATATTGGAAGACTGCTATCATGTCTCCCATAGTCCTTCTCTTCACTAAACTATCCATGCCCAGTTCCTGCAATATTCTTCATATGTTTTAGTCTCCAATTCCCCTAATCATCCTGATTGCTCTTCTCTGCACTTTTTCTACATTCTCAACATCTTTTTTTATAGTATGGTGACCAAAACTGGATGCAGCATTCTAGGTGTGGTCTTACTAAGGCTTTTTAAATATGTTTATGGTAAGGTGTCTTCTCTTCCACCCAAGGCCTGATCTGCAGGATCTCGCTGCATTCAGTATGGTATCTAATCCTGAATTGGGAGTCAGGATTAGATCCAAAATCAGTACAAGTTTATTATTCCATGCTTCCCAGCGGTGGGATTCAAATACTTTAACAACCGGTTCTCTGCCCAAATGACTGGCTGGGTGGGTGTGGCCATGGTGGGTGTAGCCAGGGGTTGTGACAGGCAGCAATCGGCCTCCTGCACCCACCTGGGAGCAAAAACGGGCCACGTGGGGGGGGGGTGTCTCACCCCCTGCCCATTTTGGGCCTAGGAGGCCTCCCTGCACTTACCTGGGAGCCAAAATGGGATGTGTGGAGACTCCTGGAAGGGGCAGGGCAGGAATGGATGGAGCCATCCATCCATCCATCCATCCATCATATCTATCTATCTATCTATCTATCTATCTATCTATCTATCTATCTATCTATCTATTATCTATCCATCCATCCATCCATCCTATCTATCTATCTATCTATCTATCTATCTATCTATCTATCTATCTATCTATCTATTATCTATCCATCCATCCATCCATCCATCCATCCATCCATCCATCCATCCATCCATCCATCCATCCTATCTATCTATCTATCTATCATCTATCTATCTATCTATCTATCTATCCATCCATCTCTCTATCTGTCTATCCATCCATCCATCCATCCATCCATCCTATCTATCTATCTATCTATCTATCTATCTATCTATCTATCTATCTATCATCTATCCATCCATCCATCTCTCTATCTGTCTATCTATCCATCCATCCAATCTATCTATCTATCTATCTATCTATCTATCTATCTATCTATCTATTATCTATCCATCCATCATCCATCCATCCATCCATCCATCCATCCATCCATCCATCCATCCTATCTATCTATCTATCTATCTATCTACTATCTATCTATCTATCTATCTATCCATCCATCTCTCTATCTGTCTATCCATCCATCCATCCATCCATCCATCCTATCTATTTATCTATCTATCTATCTATCTATCTATCTATCATCTATCCATCCATCCATCTCTCTATCTGTCTATCCATCCATCCATCCATCCATCCATCCATCCATCCATCATCCAATCTATCTATCTATCTATCTATCTATTATCTATCTATCTATCTATCTATCTATCTATCCATCCATCTCTCTATCTGTCTATCCATCCATCCATCCATCCATCCATCCTATCTATCTATCTATCTATCTATCTATCTATCTATCTATCTATCTATCTATCTATCTATCTATCATCTATCCATCCATCCATCTCTCTATCTGTCTATCTATCCATTCATCCAATCTATCTATCTATCTATCTATCTATCTATCTATCTATCTATCTATCTATCTATTATCTATCCATCCATCCATCCTATCTACTATCTATCTATCTATCTGTCTGTCTGTCTGTCTGTCTGTCTGTCTGTCTGTCTGTCTATCCATCCATCCATCCATCCATCCATCTCCCTATCTGTCTATCCATCCATCCATCCATCCATCCATCCTATCTATCTATCTATCTATCTATCTATCTATCTATCTACTATCTATCATCTATCCATCCATCCATCTCTCTATCTGTCTATCTATCCATCCATCCAATCTATCTATCTATCTATCTATCTATCTATCTATCTATCTATCTATCTATCTATATCTATCCATCCATCCATCCATCCTATCTATCTATCTATCTGTCTGTCTGTCTGTCTGTCTGTCTGTCTGTCTGTCTGTCTATCCATCCATCCATCCATCCATCCATCTCCCTATCTGTCTATCCATCCATCCATCCATCCATCCATCCATCCTATCTATCTATCTATCTATCTATCTATCTATCTATCTATCTATCATCTATTGATCTATTTATTTCCTGTCTTTGTCCTTTTCACAAAGAGCTCAACGTGGAAACATATCCAACACATCTTCCTCCTCCTATTTTTCTCAGAACAACAACCCTGTGAGGTGGGCTGGGCTAAGAGAGAAGGATTGGCCCAAAGTCTCCCAGCTGGCTTTCATGCCTAAAGCAGGCTAGAACTCACAGTCTCTTCGTGATTGGCTCAAGGTCATCCAGTTGGCTTTCATGCCTAAGGTGGGATTAGAGCTCACAGTCTCCTGGTGATTGGCCCAAAGTCACCTCCCCAGTTTTTATGCCAAAGGCGGGACTAGAATTCACAGTCTCCTGCTGATTGGCCCAAGGTTGTTCAATCAGCTTTCATGGCTAAGGCGGGACTTTCTTTCTTCCAAAAGTTTCCAAACTATTACTCTTCGGTATTTCTTACGTCTTTGGAATCAAGTGGAATTAAACTCCAAAAGGAAGATGAGAGCGGATATTGACAATTATTCTGGCCTCTAATGAATCAACTGCTATTTCTTTATCTGGTAGATTAAAAACAGAACAGAGCAGCCAGTTCTCGCAGCAAGTAACTCTGTCAAAGAACAAAACCACCCAAAAGCCAACTCCAAAGACGTGTTCCCATGCCCTACTTTTCAAAGTTCTATTGTATTTTTAAGTTCCTTACATTTTACTCTAAATGACAGCCTATCCATAATTGGATGAAAAGGTACATTCAGATGTCCACTAAATATACAAATAAAGACTGCAATCTTACATCTATAGCACCTAGCTGATCAGAGCTGATCTTGGAAGCTTAGGAGCCTTGGGCTTAGATACGAAACAATCTGTGGAATTCCAAGGTTGTAGGCTAGATTGGGAAGTTGGATGAACATTTCGGAAGGCAGAAAACTGGCAGGCCATTTCCATGTTGTTGTCAAGAAAACTACTCAGCTGCGTACATGAAATCACGAATGGAGTTCACTTCATTGGAGAACTTTACTTTTAATGTAGTTGGGGATGCATCCTAAAAGACAGCATACACCTGAGATCTGTACCCCAGAAGCCCCTATGAGCAACACATATTTTTCAGGGTCCTTTCTTTTGCTGTTAGTGAACAGAAGAGTATCTCTTCAGGGGTTAATGGCAGTGTTCTTGCCAGACGTGAAGGTAATAAAAGACCTGGGTGGATTAAAATTGTTTGGGGATTAGAGACACAGTCCTTAACAGAGAAGGAGGAGAAGAAGGAACAGAAGAAGAAGAGGAGGAGAAAAAGAAGGAGAAGGAAAAGAGGAGGAGAAGGAGACAAGGAAGGAGGAGAAGGAGAAGGAAGCATAAAGATTACATACTGTATAATCTACGTATCGTCTAATTTTGGTCTAAAATGGAAACTGAGATCAAGACAAATGATAGCACCAAGGTGGGTGGTATTCCAGTTAATTGACTAAGCCCAGTTTGTTGTGTGAATGTGCCAAAAGGAAATTCCAACACAGTTGTGCAGTATGTCCATGTCTTAGATCCATTTGTTTTCTGGGTTATTCTTTTTGGCTCGTGTCAAATACCTACTGTAGAGCAAAACAAACAGACTTCTACAAACAAAAAAATGTACTTTCCAAGGCTGTCCTTTTTGCTCTCAGTTTACTTACTTCCGAAAAGTTTTTGTTCGATACTCCAGCCCTGCTTTTTTTCCCAGAAGAAATTCCAAAGTGTATAAAATTTGGGAGAGAGAGCCTGTGATTTGCCTCGAACAGGATCACCACAGGGTATGGCTACGACAGAGGTAGGTAGCAATTCAAGAGAGGAAAGCTGGAACAAGGCCTTTTTACTATTTTTGAGGGTGGTAAATCCATACGGTAAAAATATTGAAAATGAATACTTACTCAGGCATTTTGAAGGAGGAAGAGAAGTGAAGTTTACCAACCACAAAAAGCTTAGAAGCTGAAATTTGTTTAATTAAAAACAGCAGAAGCAAAAAGTTAATACCCTTGATCTTAGGGTAATTTACAAGCAGGAAAATATCTGCTGTCAAATCTCAGAGTATAGCATATTCATAGGTTTTTTTCATGGGCTTTCTTTGAATGAATGGGTCAAGTATTTAAAACAATAGTCAGGCTGCAAAGGCTGTCAGAGAGCAGCCTTGATTTAAACCGTCGCAGTTTCATAAGCAGAAATTTAGGAGGGGAAAAAAAAAACCCGGCTGCTTTTTATAAATGTTTAGTGGACAAGGAAGGTTTATGTACAGAGATGGGCATGGACTCAATTGCAGGTCTGGTACCCCTTGACCCAAAGGTGGGACTGCCTTCCTTGTTTCTGACATTTCGGATACAGAGGACATATAATATCTTAATCTTGGTTTGAAATGGGAACTGACATCAAGATGAATGATAACATCCCTCCCTGTGGGTCAAATTTAGATGATGTCCAATTTGAAAAATATTCTATAAATTCTACAAAGGGTTCCTTTGTCTCGTTTTGCAAGGGTTGTTTTTATTCAGCGGTGATGGGAATTAACTGCTCGGGGTTTTTTTTTTTGCTTGTTTTCACGCTGCCCTGAGCCCTGGTGCTAGGGGCAGGCTAGATAAATCCTAAATAAATGCATTCACTGATTTGATGCATGGATTTGTGCATTGGCTCATCTATCCTTTCTTTCACTCAAGAAATGTTCAGAGCAATCTTCTCTTCCTATTTTTTTCCACAATAGCTGTCCCGGGAGGTAGGCTGGGCTGAGAAAAACATAACAAGCCTAAAGGGAATTCTGTGGGCTGGGTGGACTTGAACCCAGGTTTTCAAGCAGGGGAGGAGTGGGAGAAGGAGGGAGACAGAACGTACACTGCTGGAAAATTTCATTGACAAACCGAGATGGGGGATAGGCTCATTTTCCCAATGTTATGAACCAGGTGCAGCATCTGAAGTTTCCCCCGTAGGAGTAAATGGTTACTGCTTGTATGTTAGAAAGAAATAAGACACTGCTACTCCAGATGGGAACATTTACCTAGTCTTTTGCCAATAAATTTATCCATTCAATCCCACTTCTTTCTTTGTCTGATCGCGCTGTTATAACTCTGATCTTGCCCAAATGTGATCAAGTATTTGAATTAAGTTCCTACAAGGAGGATCTACAACAGGGGTGTCAAACTCAAGGCCTGGGGGCCGGATCCAGCCCGCCGGGTGCTTAGATCAGTCTGCCCTGGAAACAGTGAAGGACTAGCCCGTGGTACCACTGCCAGGAAAGTGGAGCTCGGGGAGGCCGTGTGCAGCAGAAGGCTGCAGGAGGCCATCGCTGCTGAAAACGGATCCTGGGTGGGCTCTGTGCAGCCTCCCCGAGCTCCGTCTTTGCTGGCAGAGGGCTGCAGGAGGCCATGCTGCTGAAAATGGAGCCGGATGGGCTGTGTGCAGCCTCTCTGAGCTTTATCTTCGCTGGCAGAGGGCTGCAGGAGGCCATCGCTGCTGAAAACGGATCCTGGGTGGGCTCTATGCAGGCCTCCCCGAGCTCCGTCTTTGCTGGCAGAGGGCTGCAGGAGGCCATCGCTGCTGAAAACTGATCCTGGGTGGGCTGTGTGCAGCCTCTCTGAGCTTTATCTTCGCTGGCAGAGGGCTGCAGGAGGCCGTCACAGCCGAAAACGGAGCTTGGGAGCCCGTTTTTGCTGGCAGAGTGCTCGGGCCACCACAGGTGTCTCTGACACAAATGACCTCAAGCTGGCCACACCCACCATGGCCACGCCCACCCCAGCCCCCCAAGGTCAAACACAACCCTGATGCAGCCTGTTCTAGGCTGTATCTTACAGACATGGGATTTCCACATATTTTCCCATCCTCATATTATCCAGGCCTAACCTTACTTAGCTTCCCATAATGGCCTTTATTGCCACCAGCTGAGTCTCTCATTCTATAGACACTGTTAGTCCTTGATTTATAACATTTTGTTTAGTAACCATTTGAAGTTACAACCGGGCTAAAAAAGTGACTTAAGACCGTTTTTCACAGTTATGACCATTGCAGCATTCCCACGGTCACGTGATTGAAATGCAGAATGCTTGTTGACTGATTCATACTTATGACGGTTGCAGTCTATTGGGGTCAGGTTATCACTTTTTGTGACCTTCTGATGAGCAAAGTCAGTGGGGAAGCCCCCATTCACTTAACAACCATGTTACTAACTTAACAACTGCAGTGATTCACTTAACAACAGTGGTGATAAAAGGTCGCAAAACTCACTTAAGCGTCTCATGTAGTAACAGAAATTTTGGGCTCAGTTATGGTTGCAAGTTGAGGACTCGCAATGTAAGAAATTGGAGAAGGATGATTGAAGGATGCGCTAATCTTCACAAAATCTACCTTCCTGACTCTATACTGCCTCTGTTCCTTCACACTACAACATGATTAGAAAATGCTTCCCTTCCTCAAGGTTGGACTGGATTTTAGGGCACATAGTTAGGCTGAGTTATGTGTGAACTTCCACAATTCCTCAGCATTTAGTCTTTCTCTACCTGGTGTTGTTTTCTTTGTACAAAAGAGAGTAATTCCTTTGTGCAGAATTGTCTGAGGATCTTTCATCATCCAGAGAGATAGTGGTCACTTTTTACTTCTTCTTATACGGAATAAAAGAGGGACGAGGTGGCTCAGTGGCTAAGACACAGAGCTTGTTGATCGAAAGGTCGGCAGTTCAGCGGTTCGAATCCCTAGTGCCACGTAATGGGGTGAGCTCCTGTTACTTGTCCCAGCTGCCAACCTAGCAGTTCGAAAGCATGTAAAAAATGCAAGTAGAAAAATAGGGACCACCTTTGGTGGGAAGGTAACAGCGTTCTGTGCGCCTTTGGCGTTTAGTCATGCCGGCCACATGACCACGGAGACGTCTTCGGACAGCGCTGGCTCTTCGGCTTTGAAACGGAGATGAGCACCACCCCCTAGAGTCGGGAACGACTAGCACATATGTGCGAGGGGAACCTTTACCTTTACCTATACGGAATAAGGCCCAATGGATGGATGGAGAAACCAGGAGAGTTGAAAACGACTGGTGGACTCTCTGTATCACACTGGAGTAGCTAATTTCCTTTAGAATACAGACCATTCTAAGAAGTAGTACAAGACTGGAAGTTGTGGACATACGTGGCCCATAGAATCACCAAGAGTCAGACATGAGTGAATGAGTGACATCATCATCAGATTGTAGATGATAGAATAATAGGGTTGGAAAGGGCATTGAAGGTTCTCTACTCCAACCACCAGCTTGAGCAGGAGACTCTATACCCATGATGATGAACCTATGGCACGCGTGCCCGAGGTGGCACGCAGAGCCATCTTTCCAGGCACGCAAGCTGTCGCCCAACTCACCTGCAGCTGCGCATGCGCACGCACCCCAGCTGGTGTTCAGGTCTCCGGTGCACATGCGCACAATTCAGGGGACCCAGCTGGTCTTCGGAGCTCTCCTGCGCATGTGCGCACATTTGGGCATGCATGCAAGTATTTGTATGCAGCATGCGCATGCACAGATGGTACGATTGTATGCGCAGCACATGGGGGAGCTGCACGAAACTTGCATGTGTGCGCAGATGGTGCAATTGCACATGCAGTGCATGGGAAGCTGTGCGAAAGCAGTGTGCATGCGTAGATGATGCGGTTGCACATGCAGTGCATGAGGGAGGAGCTGCGCGTTAGCACGAATGGCACGCGAAGAACGTAACTGTACAGCACTCGGTGAGTAAAAGGTTCGCCACCACTGCTCTATACAATTCCAGACAAATGTCTGTCCAATCTCTTCTTGAAAACTTCCAGTGATGGAGCACCCCACAACTTCTGAAGGAAAGTTATTTCACTGTTTAATTGTTCTCGCTCTCAGAAAATTTCTCCTTAGTTCTATGTTGGATTTCTCTTTAACAAAGTTTCGTCAAATTACTTCTTGTCCTGCGCTTAGATGCTTTTTAGTTTAGGGTACGAACACATACTGTATGTCATCTCTAGAACGGCTAAGTTTATACTCAGAGCTTTTCAGCTGAGAATATGTTTTATTGAAAACAGTGGTGTAGCATGTACCAATAGCAATAACACTTAGACTTATATACTACTTCATCGTGGTTTACAGCACTCTCTAAGAGGTTTACAGAGTAAACCATATTCATCATCATCATCATCATTTAACGACCCCATAATCCCTTGCAGGGTGGCGTCTGGGCAACTGAATGAAGCTAGCAGAATGTTTTAATGGCCGGATGCCTTTCCTGTCACCAATGCGGAGTTTTGTTCAGCAGATATATTCTCAGAGGGCCCAGAGGGAGAAATATCTGCCTCTACCTAGGATCAAACTCATAGCCTCCTGATTGTGAGGCGAGAGCTCCACCACAAGGCCACTGCACCATTCCCACAGAGTCACCATATTGCCCCCCACCTCCCCAAATCTGAGTCCTCATTTTACTGATCTCAGAAGAATGGAAAGTTTAGTCAACATTGAGCCGGTGAGGATCAAACTCCCGGCAGTGAGTAGAATTAGCCTGCAATACTGCCTTCTCACCACTGTGCCACCATGGAAAAAGGATGCATTTAATTAAACATACCAATTTGTATTTCGGTACTTGTCTGATGCTTTTGCATTTTATTTTATTTTTATTTTTTATTTTTATATTTTATTTTATTTTATTTTATCTTTCATTCTATTTTTATCGTCCTCTATTTTATCTCATCTTACTTCACCCTACCTTATTTTATGGTATTTTATTGCCTCTGAAACCTACTACTTTTTGATACAATCAATTGCCTAATCAATAAAGCTATACTGTATTATATTGGAGTAGAAAAAAAAATATTGCAGACCTTAAGGGATTGTATCTAAGGTTGAAGTTTGGTTTCCAAGGACTATATAGAGTTTGAGTCAGGACCTAAAATTCAATAAATAAAATATCTATCCCTGTTTGTATTTAGAATGCTTGCATTTAAATCAACAGTCTCTCCATATTTCAAACTTTTCAAAGGTTTAAGATACACTTCTAACTCTATTCTGATACTTGGAATCAATAGTTTCAATAGAAACCTTCTGTACAAAACTGGAAATTTAACCTCGGTATCTTAACTCTTCCATTGGAGTCTAATGGGATCTTCAGCTTAGCCCTCCCAAATATCTACAACACCTCTCTCACTAGTTTTGAATGTATGTTTGATTACGTCATCCATGTTTGTTTCTCTGTCTTTTCTTCAAGACGGTCAGCAAGACCGAGGCAAATAACTACAAAGAGGACATCCCAGCTGATCCGAAAACTGACATGAAGGGCTCTAAGAAGTTAAGGTCTGCTTGTTCCCTGTCCAAACTGAAGGTATTGGCATCTTATTATTCCCATATCAATATAAAACTCATTTCATATATATGAATTGATTGCTTGGGAAAATCCATTTGGCAACAAATGTTATTCTACAGCAGGGGTGTCAAACTCGATTTCATTGAGGGCCACATCAGGGTTGTGTTTGACCTCGGGGGGGGGACGGGGGGGGACAGGGTGGGTGTGGCCAGGGTGGGTATGGCCAGGGTGGGTGTGGCCAGCATGACATCACTCGTGTCGGGGAGCGTCTGTGGTCACCTGAGACAGTGAAAAGGGGCTCCCGAGCTCCATTTTCAGCTGCAACGGCCTCCTGCAACCCTCTGCCAGTGAAAATGGAGCCTGTAAGGGCCACGGTGGCCCTCCTGAGCTCCATTTTAGCTGGTAAAGGCACCGTGGGCTGGTCCTTCGCTGCTTCCAGGGCGGCCCCGCGGGCCAGATCTTAGCACCCCGTGGGCCAGATCTTAGCACCCCGTGGGCCAGATCTTAGCACCCGTGGGCCAGATCTTAGCACCCCGTGGGCCAGATCTTAGCACCCCGTGGGCCAGATCTGGCCTCCGGGCCTTGAGTTTGACACCCCTGGTTTAAATAATTTGTGGTTCAGAGTTGTTCACTGCCTTTGGTGATGTGGCCAGCAGGTGAAGAAATAATATGGTTTATTAGTTTGGGCATTCCACATAAGGTAAATATCATAACGGGGGACCTAAGTTTAGGTTTGATACTTTGACTGACCCCAGATGTAAAGTTGGAAGGGAGTGTTTCATACAGTATGTTGGGTCTAACCTGTTGCTTCTCCCAAATTCTTTTACCACCAGTTGTCATTGTTCCAACTGGATAAAAAGTGAAGGGTTGAAAAAGGCAGTTGCCCTCTTTTGCTTTATCCATTATATAAGCACAGGGTTTGTGAACTAATAAGTTTTTGCTAGTGCCAATGGACTTTAAACTGGACCTTTACTCTGGAAACTATGTTAATGTGTATCTGAGTTAAGTAGGCAGCTGAGGGATTCTGGGAGTTGAAGTCCACGCATCTTAAAGTTGGCATGGTTGAAAAACATTGGTCTAGACCAGGTACCCTTGCCAGGTGTCCACTATTTGAGCGGACAGTCCGCTTTTTTCACATCACTATTCTTTTTTCACAAAATAGTGGACATTTTTTTTATTCAAAAGCTTTATGATGAAATGGTACGCAATCTAAAGCTGTACAGTCTAAGAGAATAAGGATAGGAAAATCGCGTTTTGTCTTTTTTTTTTCATAAGTTAGAATGAGACAAAGATCGAATATCCATTGAACTCGATTCTCCAAAAAAATTAATGATGATGCACTGAAATTAAAGAATTATTCCTTAAACACAAAGAATTGATCAAAGCTGTGCAGTCAAATAAAAAATACACACGACAGCAAAGTAAAATGTAATTTAATATTTTACATATTATTATAATATATTTGATGTTTTGAATTTTAAGTAAAGTTTTGAAGTGATTATTTTAATATGTGTTAAAATGTTTGTAAGAAAATATATAATTTAATTGTAATTTTTTAAAAAAAAAATTTACTATAAACACCCCCCCCCCCGCTTGTCCGCTATTTTTTGGAAGCAGACCTGGCAACCCTAAGACCAGGGGTGTCAAACTCGATTTCATTGAGGGCTGCATCAGGGTTGTGTTTGACCTTGGGGGTGGGTGGGTGGCTGGGAGGGCGTGGCCAGCTCAACATCACTTGTGTTGGGGGCACCTGAGGTGGGCAAGTGCTAAGGCAGGACTTCCCTCAGACTCTCCCTCCCTCTTATTATAATGTCCTTCCTTCCTTCCTTCCTTCCTTCCTTCCTTCCTTCCTTCCTTCCTTCCTTCCTTCCTTCCTTCCTTCCTTCCTTCCTTTTCTTCTTTTTCCTTCCCTCTTCATTCTCCTTTCTTCACCTTTGCTTCTTTTTCCTTGCTTGCTCTCTTCCCATCTTCCCTTCATTTTCTTTGCCTTTCCTCTTTCCCTTTCTCCTTTCCTGTCTCTTCTTGGATGCTCAAATGCAAAAGGGAAAACATTTCTCCTTTTGTTTTGTTTTTAGTTTATTTTGCTAGTCCTCTGCCAGCGAAAATGGAGCCCGGGAGGGGGCCGCTGACAGAGGGCTGCAGGAGGTCATTTTCGCTGGCAGTGGCACCACAGGCCGGTCCTTTGCTGTTTCCAGGGTGGCCCTGCGGGCCAGATCTAAGCACCCCGCGGGACTTCACCCCATGGTCTAGACCTATGCAGCAAAGAGGAGATTCCAACCCTAGAGTAGATAATTCCACTATTGAAATGGTTAGTAGTAATTGCAGACTGCAGGGTTTTAATCAGATTTTTTTTTTTTTTTACTTGCTCAGGTCTTATCTGAGATTGACTTTAGGAAGCTGTGTGTATAACAGCTGAGTTGACATGGAAGAGTGAATAGAAAAACTTTTTAGAAAAACAAAAACAAAACCAGGCTGTTTTGGAAAATAATAGCACAACGAAGAAACAGATTTTAGGAATAAGCTGTCCTGGATTGTGCTGAGTTTATACTTTTTTGCTTGCCCTACAAATAAACACACACACACACACACAACACACACACACACACTGAATTCTATACATGTCCATTCAGGACCACGTTTGATTAATGTCAGTGGAAGTCTTTCAGAGAAGAGATTGTCCAAGATGCAGTACAAAATGTAGTATTCGTTTATTTCAATATATATCGTTGCCCATCTTACCAAAGTCACTCTGGGTAGCGAATATGGTTAAAAACATCAATGTAACAATTAAAAAGAGAAAGAGAGAAGCATAACAAAAGCAAAAACATGAGAACAAAAGGGCAAACAAGGCTAACCCATTGACAATAAATGAATAACACTTCGTAGGCTTAACTAACCTCCCGATTCCTTGCCTGGAAGAATCTGAACATCTGTTAAAATATATACAAGGGTCGGTTTGATGCCAAAAGTCCCACGTGAGAAGTTACATGGACGCTTTCAGACTTTCAGATTTGCAAGATTCATTTAATGTAGTCTTATCATAAAGTAGAATTAGTTTATCTGGTCGTATTTCTTGTCTGGTCTACCTGGTGAGGATGACATCATGGTGAGCATGACATCAATCTTGCAAGTGTGGAAGTACGATTCGCCTACCATCTCCTTCAGCAATAGCAATAGCACTTAGACTTATATACTGCTTCACAGTGCTTTTACAGCCCTCTCTAAGCCGTTTACAGAGTCAGCCTATTGCCCCCAACAATTTGGGTCCTCATTTTACCCACCTCGGAAGGATGGAAGGCTGAGTCAACCTTGAGCCTGGTGAGAGTCGATCTGCCAAACTGATAGAAGCTGGTGATCAGCAGAAGTAGCCTGCAGTACTGCACTCTAACCACTGCGCCTCCGCGGCTCTTCTTTACAGCCTGAGAAACTAGGGAGGGTGTCTTCTGGGCCTCTTGTTCCCCACCATTATCCATCTGCAAACTGTGCTGTCTCTTACCTAACAGTTCTCTAGGCAGCATCTCTTTGTGGAGTCCCCCAAGGTCTTTCCCACATACCATTACAGAACAGGGTGTGTGCGCAACGTGAAAGAGGTGGAGTTCAGGGTGTGGAAATCTTTGCATGTGTGTCTATTGCAACAAAATGTAATTTCTTTTGGCTCAACCAGTGGTGAAATTCAAAAATTTTCCCTATTGGTTCTGTGAGTGTGGCTTGGTGGGCGTAGCTTGGTGGGCATGTGACTGGATGGGCGTGGCTTGGTGGGCATGTGACCAGGAAAATCAATTATCACACTTTACAAAAAAATAACACAAAAGCTACACAACTGACTCACACACAATGCAAGAGCATCTGGACTTCACACAAAAGGGCCCCTGGAACAAGCAGGAACCTCAGAGAGTCACAGAGAGCTCAAAAACAAACCATCACACTTTACACAAAAATACCAGTTCGGGCAATAGGTAGTAAAAAAATGCTTTAAAAAGTAAAAAATAAGTTCCGACAATTGGCTGTGCTGCGCGATGATCGGAACTTTTTTTTTACTTTTTAAAGCATTTTTTTACTACTGGTTCCGGCGAACCAGTAACATTTTCACTACCGGTTCGGGAGAACTGCCCCGAACTGGTAGCATTTCACCCCTGGGCTCAATGTTTTGCCTATCCTGGCCTAACTTCTTTTTAAAACTTTTAAAACTTTTTAATATTCATAAATTTTAAATTTGTCTTATAAATTGGGGTGTTTTAAATTTCGTTTTTCGGGCCAATTATTTAATTGTATTTTAATGGTTTTTTAACATTTGTATTATATGTATTTTATTTGGCTGTTCACCACCCTGAGTCCTTCAGGAGTAGGGCGGTATACAAATTCAATGAATAATAATAATAATATTAATCCAAAAAGTTCATTTTCAAAATTATTAAGAATATTGGTGTGCCAGGCAGCCACTATAACTCTCAGGGAAGAATAGCCATACTAGTTTCCCTTAATTTCTTTGTCAGTAAATGTAAATTTAACATAAAAATAGTTTGTCGTGGAAGCAACGGCCTGCGAAGGCTCCTGGACTGGCGAAAGGCGAAAGCGGAAGCGGTATGCTCCTCGGTCGCATATTTGGGTAGACCAGATTGCCTTGATAGACCGGTCTCACCAGAAAAACATTTCTCAGGGAAGACGAAGAAAAAATGCCCTGCTAATTTTGCAGATGGCTTCCATAGTCTACAAACAGAACAAATGAGATTAAAGCTAAATTGTCTTAAATTACTCTGGCCTTTTAAAAGCTAACCATTTCAGATTGAATCTGATACCTTGGTGACTTCCTTTGCAATAGACAGGGCCTGTTCTTACAGTTATGTAAGGGAGCGGGAATACCACTTGGAAAAGCCAGAAAAAGGGAGTAATTGCATACATTATACTTGTCAATAAAGGAAATTGGGCCACTGTAGGGAAAAAGGACATCAATGCCAACACACATGTAAATACTAGAAATATTCTTAAACCATGGTGTCAGGTTTCGAGGTCGTCTCAAATAAATTGCATTTCAAACAAAGTCTTTGAAGGAAAACACCTATTTATTAAGCACAACATTCTAAAATCCGACTCCATCAAAGCCAACACTGACTTCCAGACCCAAAACCCTCCCTTTCCATTCCCCACTCCCCTGCACTCATTGGCCATCTTCCAAGTCATTCTACCCCTAATCTACCACTCCAGCTCAAAGGAATTTCCCCCCTCCCATCCCATCTCCTAAGGGATATTATCTCCAGGGAAAATAAGTAGGTGAAAAGTCAAACGTCCCTTTCCAGACGCCTCCGCTTCTCCTTCTTATGTCAGCACTAGAGTAAATGCAGCTTGAAGTGCTGACACATGGTTTCCCTCCTGAATAACATCCCCCAGTCAACTTCACACAATATTGTTAACCATAAATACCAGCAGATTCATTAGCTGGTATGCCTTGTCCAAGGGACTCAGTGGCTAAGACGCTGAGCTTGTTGATCGAAAGATTGGCAGTTCAGAGGTTTGAATCCCTAGTGCTGCATAATGGGGTGAGCTCCCGTTACTTGTCCCAGCTTCTGCCAACCTAGCAGTTCGAAAGCAGGTAAAAAATGCAAGTAGAAAAATAGGGACCACTTTGGTGGAAAGGTAACAGCGTTCCGTGCGCCTTTGGCATTTAGTCATGCCGGCCACATGACCACGGAGACGTCTTCAGACAGCTCTGGCTCTTCGGCTTTGAAACGGAGATGAGCACCGCCCCCTAGAGTCGGGAACGACTAGCACATATGTGCGACAGGAACCTTTACCTTTACCTATGCCTTGTCCAAATAGGACCCGAGCTGAAAAGCTTGATAAATATATCTTTATTTATGCATAAGCAAGAAGAGGCATCTCACTCAAATAGAAAGGAACTTAGAAAGGTAGAGAATCATTTTATACATAGTTCAATCATTCTGGATATGGAATGCGTTCTTTCATTGACATCATTTGATTCATTGCTGATGTTATCGATGTAACATGTAACGTTTTATACAGGGGTGGGTTCTAAAAATTTTTACTACTGGTTCTGTGGACGTGGCTTATTTTGTGGGTGTGGCTTGTTGGGGGTAATGTGACTGGGTGGGCATGGCCAACTTTTTTTTAAAAAAGAAACTTTTTAAAGCATTCTTTCTACAACCTTAAGAGGTTGCAGAAAAAAATGCTTTTAAAAGCCTCTGACGATCAGGCAACTCAGCTGGGATCGCCAAAGGCTTTTAAAGGCATTTTTTCCCTACAACCTCTTCGGCCGAAGAGGTTGTAGAAAAAATGCTTTTAAATGCTCCCTGATAAGTTTCTATCCGTCCTCTCTTGTCCTGCCCTCAGGCACTTTGGAGAACAGGTAGACCCCTTCTTCTCTGTGAAAGTCCCTCAAGTATTGGAAGACTTTTGGACTTCTTGCTTGAGAAAGATAAAAATGAAGTTTAGACTTTAGGATTTGATGATTAGGTTTGTTACTTGTTGTAACTTATTGCTTATATCCTTGAGATTTATAAGCAATTATAAATTATCAATTATATTGATTGTTTCCTAGTATGATTTGATTGCTTATTGTACAGTATGACTGTCACTGGGTGTTGTGCCTTGTGATTCTTGACGAGTGTCTTTTTATGTACACTGAGAGCATCTGCACCAAAGACAAATTCCTTGTGTGTCCAATTACACTTGGCCAATAAAGAATTCTATTCTATTCTATTCTATTCTATTCTATTCTATTCTATTCTATTCTATTCTATTCTATTCTACTCTACTCTACTCTACTCTACTCTACTCTACTCTACTCTATTATGCTTATATTATGCTTATAGAGATATTATGTATTTTTATTGCCACTATTCGACATGCACATGTATATTCTTTTATGTTTATGCTTAAACTTAAGGGTAAGAGATTATTTTGTTATATAATTTTAATGTTATTTTGATTGCCTAATTGGTTCATTTCATATGTTGTTTTTGTACTTTTGTTTAATCTAGAGTAAGAGGCTACTTTATTATTTATTTGTAGTTAATTTTTTTCCTTTTTTTCTCCCTTTTCATGCCCTTTTCCCCTATTTTTCTTTCTTTTTCTGTTATTTTGTATTTTATCTGTCCTTGAAACTTTATAAGGTAGATTTTTTTAAAAAGTGTGTGTGTGTGTGTGTGTGTATGTGAGAGAGAGGGAGGGAGGGAGGGAGGGAGGGAGGGAGGGAGAGAGAGAGAGAGAGAGAGAGAGAGAGAGAGAGAGAGAGAGAGAGAGAAAGAGAGAGAGAGAGAGAGAGAGAGAGAGAGAGAGAGAGAGAGAGAGAGAGAGAGAGAGAGAGAGAGAGAGAGAGAGAGATTGTTCCCAGCCCAAATCCATTGAGTGGGAAACAACCCCACACTTTACATGCCAGTAAATTTGGTGCGATTAATTCCTTGTTGATTTTCCTCATTTCCTTCTAGGTATTTTTAATATTATTATATTTAGCTTATCTGACCAAGACTATGAGTGGGGCGTACATAAACAGCATGCTGACTCAGATCGAGAGGCGTTTCAACATCCCTGCCTATCTGGTTGGAGTTATCAATGGAGCCTTCGAAATGGGTAAGAAAATAGAGGAACCTGTCCAATGGTTTGAACAGAATAGAATAACAGAGTTGGAAGGGACCTTGGAGGTCTTCTCGTCTAACTTCCTGCTCAGGCAGGAAACTCTATACTATTTCAGACAAATGGCTGCCCAATCTCTTCTTAAAAACTTCCAGTGTTGGAGCATTTACAACTTCTGGAGGAAAGATGTCCCACTGATTAATTGTTCTAACTGTCAGGAAATTTCTCCTTAGTTCTAGGTTGCTTCTCTCCTTGATGAGTTTCCACCCCTTGCTTCTTGTCCTGCCCTCAGGTGCTTTGGAGAATAGCTTGACTCCCTCTTCTTTGTGGCAGCCCCTGAGATATTGGAACACTGTTATCAGCCCTTAGTCCTTCTTTTCATTAAACTAGACATACCCAGTTCCTGCAACCATTCTTCATATGTTTTAGCTTCATCTATTTTAGCCTAGAAGACTGGCACTAATTTCTCTCAAGGGATAAATAATTTAACCCAGGGGTGAAATCCAGCAGGTTCTGACGGGTTCTGGAGAAGCGGTAGAGGAAATTTTGAGCAGTTCAGAGAACCGGCAGCAGATATTTTGAGTAGTTCAGAGAAACGGCAAATACCACCTCTGGCTGGCCCCAGAGTGGGGTGGGAATGGAGATTTTGCAATATCTTTCCCCCAGGAGTGGAGAGGGAACGGGGATTTTGCAGTATCATTCCCCTGCCACGCCCACCAAGCCACACAATTCCCACCAAGCCACGCCCACAGAACCAGTTGTAAAAAAAATTGGATTTCACCAATGCCTTGGAGATAGGTGTTTGCAATAAATAACGTCAGGGAATTGTGCAGCAACTGTCCAAATGAAGTCAGAGATGTGGACACAAACTTGTAGTTTTACTTATTTATTTATTTATTTTTAATTTTAAAAAACTTACTTACTTACTTTATTCAAATTTCTATACCGCCCTTCTCCTTTCGGACTCAGGGCGGTGAACAGCCAAGATAAAAACATCTATACAAAACATCACAGTTAAAAAATAAAGTTAAAATAATTTATAAATTTGGCCCATAATTTAAAACTTGTCAATTTAAAATCAATATTAAAATTTTAAAACTAACCCTAAAATCAAGACAGACCGGCTAACTGGAAAAAATAAGTTTTTAGGGCCCGACGAAAAATCCGAAGGTCGGAGATCACTCGTATCTCTGGGGGTAGATTGTTCCATAGGGTAGGTGCCACCACAGAGAAGGCTCTCCTCCTGGGGGTCGTCAGCCGGCATTGTCTGGCCGACGGCACCCTGAGGAGGCCCTCTCTGTGGGAGCGAACCGGCCGGTGGGAGGCTATTGGTGGCAGAAGGCGGTCCCGTAAGTACCCTGGCCCTAAGCCATGGAGCGCTTTAAAGGTGATCACCAACACCTTGAAGCGCACCCGGAAGTCCACCGGAAGCCAATGCAGCTCGCGCAGGAGAGGAGTCACATGGGAGCGCCCCGTCGCTCCCATAATCCCCCGCGCAGCCGCATTCTGCACCAGTTGGAGCCTCCGGGTGTACCCCAAGGGGAGCCCCATGTAGAGAGCGTTACAATAGTCCAGACGAGAAGTGACGAGTGCTTGAGTGACCGTGCGTAGGGAGTCCCGGTCCAGAAAGGGGCGCAACTGGCGTATCAGGCGAACCTGACAAAAAGCCCCCCCTGGCCACGGCTGTCATATGCCCTTCTAAAGACAGCCGCGCATCCAGGAGGACACCCAAGTTGCGGGCCCTCTCCGTGGGGGCCAATGATTCGCCCCCAATAACCAGCGATGGCGTCAGCTGGCTATACCGGGACGCCGGCAGCCACAGCCACTCGGTCTTGGAAGGGTTGAGTCGAAGCCTGTTTCTCCCCATCCAGACCCGCACGGCCTCCAGGCACTGGGACATCACTTCCAAGGCATCATTGGGATGGTCTGGGGTGGAAATGTACAGCTGAGTATCATCAGCGTACTGATGGAACTCCACCCCAAAACCACGGATGATCTCACCCAGCGGCTTCACATAAATGTTGAACAGGAGGGGTGAGAGGACCGACCCTTGCGGCACCCCACAAACAAGGCGCCTTGGGGTCGACCGCTGCCCCCCTGTCAACACGGATTGCGACCGGTCGGAGAGATAGGAGGAGAACCACCGCAAAACGGTGCCCCCCACTCCCAGTCCCTCCAGCCGGCGCAACATGATACCATGGTCGATGGTATCAAAAGCCGCTGAGAGGTCTAATAGGACCAGGATAGAGGAAGAACCCCTATCCCGGGCTCTCCAGAGATCATCCACCAACGCGACCAATGCCGTTTCCGTGCTGTACCCAGGTCTGAAGCCGGACTGGAGCGGATCCAGATAGACAGCTTCATCCAGGTACTGGGGAAGCTGTCGCGCCACCACACTCTCAACAACCTTCGCAATAAAGCGAAGGTTGGAGACTGGACGATAGTTAGCCAAAACAGCCGGGTCCAGGGATGGCTTCTTGAGGAGAGGCCTCACCACCGCCTCTTTCAAGGCGGCCGGCAGGACACCCTCGCTCAAAGAAGCGTTAATAATCCCCTGGAGCCAGCCTCGTGTAACCTCCCGGGAAGCCAGCACCAACCAGGAGGGACACGGGTCCAATAAACATGTGGTTGCGTTCAGCCGCCCCAAGATCCTGTCCACGTCCTCGGGAGCCACAGGATCGAACTCCTCCCAGATAACACTCTCAAGGCCTGCCTCAGTCATCTCGTCTGAACTAACCCAGTCGGCGGCCAAGTCTTCCCGAATCTGAGTTATTTTATCATCCAGATACTGTACAAAATCCTCAGCTCGGCCCTGCAAGGGGTCCTCCCGCGCTCCCAGATGGAGGAGGGAGCGGGTCACCCTAAACAGGGCGGTTATCTGATGATGCAATAAGAGCGGCAAAATAGCTAGATTTCGCCGCTTTTATCGCCACTAGGTAGGTCTTAATATGAGACCTTACCAGTGTCAAGTCAGACTCGGAACGACTGGCCCTCCAACCGCTCTCTAGGCGTCTTTTCCGGCGCTTCATCACCCTCAGCTCCTCGGAAAACCAAGGAGCTAAGTGAGTTCGGAGCCGGGTCAGAGGCCGCAAAGGCACGACCCGGTCCAAAGCCCCGGCGGCCGCCCTATCCCAGGCGGCCACCAGGTCGTCAGCCGAGTCATGAGCTAGAGTCTCAGGAAATGGCCCAAGCTCCATTTGGAACCTATCAGGGTCCATCAGGCGCCTGGGGCGGAACCACCTGGTCGGTTCCGCCTCCCTGCGACGGGGTACGGCGGTCAGAAAGTCAAGTCGAAGGAGCGAGTGGTCAGACCATGACAAGGGTTCAATAACTACATCCCCTATATCAAGGCCACTCAACCACTGACCAGAGATAAAAACTAAGTCCAGAGTGTGTCCCCCCATATGAGTAGGGCCGTGAATTACTTGGGTCAGGTCCATGGCCGTCATGGAAGCCATGAACTCCCGAGCTACCTCAGATGTCTCACCGATGGATGGCAGGTTGAAATCCCCCATGACCACAAGTCTGGGGGTATCAGCCGCCACCTCGGCTATAACATTGAGGAGTTCGGGCAGGGTCGCTGCCACGTGGCAGGGAGCCAGGTACGTGATCAACAGACCCATCTGCACCCCACGACCCCACTTCACAAAAAGGGACTCACATCCGGCTATCTGAGGTACAGTGGTCTCCCTCGGATCAAGACCTTCTTTTAAAATGACCGCCACCCCCCCGCCCCTGCCCTGAGCTCTCGGCTGATGAAATGCACGGAAGCCTGATGGGCACATCTCCACGAGGGGAACTCCCCCCTCATGGCCCAACCAGGTCTCCGTGATACCTGCCAGGTCCGCTCCCCCCTCTTGAATAAGATCACAAATGAGGGGGGCTTTATTTACTAAAAAACAAACTTTATTGAATTTAAAAATATTAACAAGAAAAAAAAAGAAAATATTCTCACTCATAAAATTTACATTTTCCATCCACAGTTACACTAAATACATGTGATTATACTAAATACTAAATACTATATTATATAGTAGTATAGTATATACTATATACTAAATACATGTGATTATATAGACACATATATACAAATATACAAACAGTGACTTATTTACCTATTCTATCTATCTGACGGTGCTTTTTTTTTTTTATTACTTACATTTCACCTAATTTTTATCTTTACCCTTTTTTCCTTTGGTTTATCCACTTATACCATCTATTCCATACTATAAAATATTTTGAGTCTTCCTTGTCTTTTAATTCAAGAGTTAATTTATCCATTTCTGCGCATGTGTAGATTTTTTTGAATTACTTCCTGATCTGTTGGCATACGATCTGTTTTCCACAGTTGTGCTATAGGCATGATAAAAAGGAATATTAGAAAAGACATAAAATATTTGACACTACACATAATTACGGCGGCCAGACAAACTTGTAGTTTTAAATAAATAAATATAAATCACTTCTGGTCCTTCTTTTCATTAAACCAGACATACCCTGTTCCAGCAACTGTTCTTTATTTGCTTTAGCCTCCATTCCCCTCATCATCTTTGTTGCTCTTCTCTGCACTCTTTCTAGACTAGAGTCTCCACATCTTTTTTACAAATCTATTTGTACCTAACCTAGTTTATTTCTACAGGGGACCTGTTGGTGATCGTCTTTGTGAGTTACTTGGGATCAAAACTTCACAGGCCACGCATGATTGGGCTTGGATGTGCAGCCATGGGCTTGGGATGTGTTTTGATAGCACTGCCTCATTTTCTAATGGGGAGGTAAGTTCTTAATCTTATCTAATTCTCACATGGGTAAATCCTCGACTTACAACCACAGTTGGAACCAGAATTTCCATTGCTGACCAAGTAGGTGTTAAGGGACCTGTGACTGATTTTATGAGCTTTTTTTTTTTTTGCCATGGTTGCTAAGTGAATCCCTGTGGTTGTTAACTGAATCCCACAGTCATTAAGTAAACCCTGCTTGCCCCATTCACTTGGTTGGGAAGGTCACATGACCCTGGGATGCTGCAAATATGTTGTAAATACAATGTGACAATGACAAAATGTGTGTGGTGTCGTCACAACACCAAATGTAGCCTTTCATAGGTAAAGGTTCCCCTTGCACATATGTGCTAGTCGTTCCCGACTCTAGGGGGCGGTGCTCATCTCTGTTTCAAAGCCGAAGAGCCAGCACTGTCCGAAGACGTCTCCGTGGTCATGTGGCCGGCATGACTCAATGCCAAAGGCTCACGGAACACTGTTACCTTCCCACCAAAGGTGGTCCCTATTTTTCTACTTGCATTTTTTTACGTGCTTTCGAACTGCTAGGTTGGCAGAAGCTGGGACAAGTCACGGGAGCTCACCCCTTTACGTGGCACTAGGGATTCGAACCTCTGAACTGCCAACCTTTTGATCGATAAGCTCAGCGTCTTAGCCGCTGAGCCACCGTGTCCCTCATACTTGCCTTTCATACTTGCATATTATTATATTTAGCTATATTTAACAGTAGATGTCAGCTGTGTGGTTTGTGTCATGTCATTGAAATGCATTGTTTGTCATCTCCTCCTCCTTCTCCCGCATCCCCAAAATTGATGATCTCCACTCGTTCTTGTTCTGAGTTGCTAATTTTGTAAATATACCTTTGGAGGAATAAATAATTCAGTAAATATTTCCCATGAGATAGGATCAGAAAGTCAAATATATCCAAGCAGTAAGTATCAATATTTCCTTTTGTAGACTGATACACATTCTCCCAAAGGTATCCAGTGCAAGTGATGATGTTATAACTCATCCTAATATCACTATGTGCAAAAGATGCAAAATGATATATTTTGAGTACTTCGTATTTGTTCTCTGTGGACATCTGTGCTCCCTTAAAAAAATGTTAGTCTCTTGCAGGACCACCGTTAAATCAATCTTCACAGATTCTGATTCTGTTGAATAGATGAATGAATAGATGATGCCCTGAATTTCTCTACTAAAGGTTGCCCATGGACTCCCCTACCCTCACAGAAAGAATGAACACACCCTAGTGCTACTTTTTTTAAACAATTTATTTTGATTCACAGGTACCACTATGAAAACACTGCTTCGTCTTCTGAAAATGCTACTTCAAGTATGGCAGTTTGCCTTGCAAATCAAAGTGACATGTTCCAATCTCCCCTGTTACCTTCAAAAGGTAAAGTTCCCCTTTTGGTCCATTTAGCTTCCTCTGCATTACTTCCCTGTCTCAGTGGTAGCAGGAGATCAGAGCAACTAAAGCCTAAACAAGCCTGTTTGACGGATAACTACAGATTAACCGAGTTGGAAGGGACCTTGTAGGTCATCTAGTCCAACCCCCTGCCCAAGCAGACCCTACACCATTTCTGACAGGTGACAGTCCAGGCTCTTCTTGAAAGCTTCCAGTGATGAAGCTCCCACAACTTCTGAAGACAACTTCTGTTCCATTGGTGGATTGTTCTCACTGTCAGAAAATTTCTCCTTATTTCCAGGTTGAATCTCTCCTTCTTCAATTTCCATCCATTATTCCTTGCCTGGCCTTCAGGTGCTTTGGAAAATAGCTTGACCCTCCTCCTCTCTGTGGCAGCCCCTCAAATATTGGAAGACAGCTATCACGTCTCCCATGGTCCTTCTCTTCACTAGACTAGCCAGGCCCAGTTCCTGCAACCGTTCTTCGTATGTTTTAGCCTCCAGTCCCCTAATCGTCTTGGTTGCTCTTCTCTGCACTCTTTCTAGAGTCTCAACATCTTTTTTATAGTGTTTTATATAGTTTTTAGATAGTGTTTTGTACTTTATAGCATTAATTAATGTTAGTCCAGTTGAATTTGACAGTTGTTATCATTTGGCTTCCTGGATCTTCTGTGACATTATAGCAACTCAGCCAATAGCTGTAGGAGAAGTAGAGACAGAGCCCGGGGGCAGAGTCAAGAGAGAGCTAAGCCTAAAATCATTATGTGTCCACAAATACTCCAAGTCCAGCACCTCTTGAACTCCGTTAACGCTAGTGCCATTTTAGTGCTGAACGTTAGTTGACTAGATTCTTGCGTGTAGGCTTGATCAATAAATCTTCTTAACTGGAACTTAACTCATTCTTTGTGCCTGACAATAGCAACCAGAATTCATGCAATCGTTAGCAAGGAAGCCAATAGTAGCCAGATGACAGGTAGTCTTCAACTTACGACCGCAATGGAGCCCAAAATTTCTGTTGCTAAGTGAGGCATATGTTAAGTGAATTTTGCCCCATTTTATGACCTTGTCACCGTTGTAAAGTGAATCTCCGCAGTTGTTAAGTTAGTAACGTGGTTTTTAAATGAGTATGGCTTCCCCGTCGATTTTGCTTTGTCAGAAGTTCCCAAAAGATGATGGCATGATGTCGGGATATTGCAACTGTCATAAAGATGAATTGGTTGCCAAGCATCTGAATTTTGATCATGGGGATGCCACAACCGTCATAAGTGTGAAAAACAATCATACGTTGCTTTTTTCATTGTAATTTTGAACAAACTGTTGTAAATTGAGGACTATCTGTGTTCTCTTGTACAACGAAGAAGGAAAGTACAATATATTGTATAAACAATATTCACACATAATTTTTGTTACTGATACACATCTATTTCCTTACTGATCAATGAAAAGTATCAACAGTTTTACTTCTATGAACATCCTCCTCACACAATTTTTGGTTTATTGTTTCTCCTTATTCTTGCCCTTTTTTAGAATGTGAGGAACAAGAAGGATCTCTGATGTGGGTATCTGTGCTGATAGGAAACATAATACGAGGAATAGGTGAAACGCCCATCACACCTTTAGGCATCTCCTACGTAGAAGATTTTGCAAGATCAGAAAATTCTCCATTCTACATAGGTAAGCCTGCAAGTGTTCAGGTATCATATTTTTAAAAACTTTTTTTTTAAAGACAGGCTTTTATAACCGAGGAGGAAGAAATTTGTAGTACTGAATCATAACTACCAGCAGTCTCAGCCAACAAAGGATGCTGGGATTTTTTCAATTTAGTTACGTTTGAAGTAGTACATTTCCAGTGCAATCCCAGTGCTCAGAAGGAAATACAATTTATTTATACAGGTAGTCCTTGAGTTATGATGGCAGTTGGAACTGGAATTTCCATTGTTAAGTGATGCAATGATTAAGCATGATGTCTTAGCGATAACAACCCCGGTAATCTCCATTGCTGTTGTTAAGCAATAATTGTGCGTCATTAAGCAGGACCTCATGTGATTCTGAATTTGACTTCCTGCCGTTCCCAATAAGCAAAGTCAATGGGGAAGCTGCAAGGAAATCGCAAGTCTCAGTCATGGCGACACTGTTGTGGCCTGTTGGCCGCCATCCCCTCCAGGAACTGAATCAGAGGAGGAGGAGGCGTGGGAGTCAGGGTCAGCAATCTGAGAGCTCCAAGGGGGGAGAGGGAATGGAGCTGACAGAGAGAGAGACAGAGGCAGAACCTGGGTCGTCCTTCAGCCCTCAGATGGAGAGTCAACAGCCCCCAGGTTTGGAGGTGGCTGATGAGGAAGAGGAGGAAAAGCTGGGTCCAGTGCCTGATGCACAGATATGCAGAAGGCAGAGGAGAGGAGAGCAGTGGAAATCTATGGGCCAGTCTTTGAGATAGAAGAGCCACCGCTGCTAGCAAAGCCCTACCCTAGCTCTGGGGATAAAAGGCAGGGGGCGGAGATGAATAGATGTGGCAGACAACTATTCATCTCACTGCCGGATGGACTTGTTAGCCTGCGGTGAGAGAGAAACTTTTTGCCGGGGCTGCAGGCGCTCCTAATTAAAGGAATCTTTGAATTCACTTCAGAGGGTTTGTCATATTTGGAGAGCTGGGTCTCCTTAAGTGGCTCACAAGTAGGTGGGTGGTAGATGAGTGCTATAGAATACAGATTGGTGGGAATTGTTGCTGTGGCATGCATGAGTGTGGGTAGGTGCTGTAACTTTGTTAGAATGCAGAAAAATGTGTTCTGACATTGCAGTGCATTGCATCTGCTTATGTACATGTATGCAATTAACTCTTTTAACATGTTTGAATCTTTCCCACTCCTTTAGGCTGTCTACAAATAGCAACTGTCTTAGGGCCTTTACTCGGTTTAATGATTGGCTCCTATTGTGCCCAGTTGTATGTGGATATTGGATTCATAAACCTGGGTAAGACAATTGGTCAGCAA